TCCTTCTTTATCTCTTGTTACTTTCTTTGTTTTGAAGTCTATTTTGTCTGATATTAGTACTGCAACCCCTGCTTTCTTCTCGCTGTTGTTTGCCTAAAACATGTTTTTCCATCCCTTGACTTTTAGTCTGTGCATGTCTTTGGGTTTGAGGTGAGTTTCTTGTAAGCAGCATATAGATGGATCTTGCTTTTTTATCCATTCCATTACTTTGTGTTTTTTGATTGGTGCATTCAGTCCATTTACATTTAGGTTGACTATTGAAAGATATGTACTTATTGCCATTGCAGGCTTTAGATTCATGGTTACCAAAGGTTCAAGGTTAGCTTCTTTAATATCTTACTGCCTAATTTAGCTCACTTATTGAGCTGTTATATACACGTCTTGAGATTCTTTTCTTCTCTCCCTTCTTATTCCCCCTCCTCCATTCTTTATATGTTGGTTGTTTTATTCTGTGGTCTTTCGTGTTTCCTTTAACTTCTTTTAGTGGGTAGTTGATTTTATTTTTTACATTTAGTTAGTATTTGGTTGGTCTGCTTTCTTTGCTGTGATTTTATTTTCTCTGGTGACATCTGTTTAGTCTTAGGAGTGCTCCCATATAGAATAGTCCCTCTAGAATACCCTGTAGAGGTGGTTTGTGGGAGGCAAATTCCCTCAACTTTTGTTTGTCTGGGAATTGTTTAATCCCTACTTCATATTTAATGATAATTGTGCTGGATACAGTATTCTTAGTTCAAGGTCCTTCTGTTTCATTGCATTAAATATATCATGCCATTCTCTTCTGTCCTGTAAGGTTTCTGTTGAGAAATCCAATGATAGCCTGATGGGTTTTCCTTTTTAGGTGTCCTTTTTCTTCTCTCTAGCTGCCTTTAAAACTCTGTCCTTGTCCTTGATCTTTGGCATTTTAATTATTATGTGTCTTGGTGTTGTCCTCCTTCAGTCCTTTCTGTTGGAAGTTCTGTGTACTTCTGTGGCCTGATCAATTATTTCCTCCCCCAGTTTGTGGAATATTTTAGCAATCATTTCTTCAAAGACACTTTCTATCCCTTTTTCTCTCTCTTCTTCTTCTGGTACCCCTATAATGCAGGTATTGTTCCTTTTGGATTGGTCACACAGTTCTCTTAATATTGTTTCATTCCTGGAGATCCTTTTATCTCTCTCTGTGTCCGCTACTATGTGTTCCTGTTCTCTAGTTTCTATTCCATCAATGGCTTCTTGCATCTTATCCATTCTGCTTATAAATCCTTCCAGAGTTTGTTTCACTTCTGTAATCTCCCTCTGGATGTCTGTAATCTCCCTCCGGACTTCATCCCTTAGCTCTTGTATATTTCTCTGCATCTCTGTCTGAATGTTTATGATTTTTATTTTGAATTCTTTTTCGGGAAGACTGGTTAGGTCTGTCTCCTTCTCAGGTGTTGTCTCTGTGATCTTTGTCTGCCTCAAATTCTGCCTTTTCATGGTGATAGAGATAGTTTGTGGAGCTGTCACGACTGACGGCTGGGAGAACGTCCCTTCTTGTTGGTTTGTGGCCTTCCTCTCCTGGGAGAACAGCGACCTCTAGTGGCTTGTGCTGGGCAGCTGCACACAGGTGGGGCTTCTGATTCTTGCCCAGCCGCTATGGAGTTTATCTCCGCTGTTGCTGTGGGCGGTGGCCTGCCTTGGGCTGCTGCTCCGATATGGTGGAGCCGCGTCGGAGGGGAAACAGCCAGGAGGCTGTTTATCTCCATGAGGGGCCTCTGAGCTGCCCTGCTATCCAGGGGTTTAGGGTGCCCGGAGTTCCCTGCAGCTGGGGTAATTGTCCCGGGATGCTTCTGTCTGGCTGTGCGGTCCCTGTCCCTTTAAGACTTCCAAAAATCACTTGCTTTTCTTTGTCCCCGGGGCGCCGGCTGTGGGGACTCGCTCACAGGTCTTTCTGTCCTGTTTCCCTAGTTTCCAGCACCCCACGCATGCACTGTGTCTGCGCTCCGGTACGGATGGCTAGAGCTGGCTATTTAGCAGTCCTGGGCTCCCTTTCCCTCCCTGCTCTGACTCCTCTCCTACTGCCTGGAGCTGGGGTGTGGGGTGCTTGGGTCCTGCTGGGCCGCGGCTTGTATTTTACCCCCTTCGCGAGGCACTGGGTTCTCTCAGGTGTGGATGTAGTCTGGCTGTTGTCCTGTGTCTTCTGGTCTCTCTTTTAGGAAGAGTTGTTTTTGTTGCATTTTCAAAAATATATGTGGTTTTGGGAGGAGATTTCCGCTGCTCTACTCACACCGCCATCTTGGCCTGGGAAAACTTTTTAAAGAGGCATGTGTCCTTTTGTCATTTGCCCCTGTCTTCTTTCTGCCTCGAGTGTAGATAGATGGCTAGAGCTCCAGCAGCCAAACTTGCCAGGAGGCAACCATGTTAAGGATGGCTGAGCAGAGAGAAGCCTGTCTTTAATGACATCTTAAAGACATCACATCAGCCTCCAACAGCCCATCTGTAGAATATCAGCTACATGAGACAAAATAAATACTTTCTTTAAGTGACTGTTTTTTGAATTTCTGTTTTTAGCTGCCCAGTGAAGTTCCTGACACCACACATGACCTTAGCAGCATGAAGCAACATTATTCATTGAATAATTATCCTGAGTCAATGACCAAAATTAGAAACATTAAAACCTCAGCAAGGTGATCTAGCCAAATAGTAAGCAGCTGCTAGGGTATGTAAACTTGTGGAGAAATTTTTCTTTGGTTTCCTTCTTCCTTGTCCTAACAAGTCCAATTCCTCCTCTCAGCCATCTATCTCCCTTCTTATATCTGCCTATCTAATATCAGCTGTTAACTGATCTGAGAGAGTTAGCAATAAAGGGGGACGGCTGTTTTCATTTTAGAATAGAATTCTTGAGGAAGAAAACTGATTGAAAACAAACAAAATAACAGCCAGATGTGGTGGCTCCTATTTCCAGGTAATGAGCTGTCCAAATGTCTTATCAGTAATAACAAAGTAGTATTTCTGTAGATAACTTGATAAAGCATTTCATGAACATCATCTCATTAGCTGTCTGAGGTCCAGTAAGGTTAGATGATTTGTTCAAGGAGAACTAACAAGTGACAGAGACACTTGTGAGAGTCACTTTTCTAACTTCTATTTTCCTTTCTTGTGCCAAAAGTAGTCTTAGGAATGGTGTTGAGGAGAGCCTTCTGTGTACATGACATAAGGAGATGTGGTAAAGAAAAATTTCACTAGACATAGTTAAACAGTCAAGGAAGACTTTATTTAAGACTACTGCACAGGAAAGGGAAAGGGGGAGGGAAGAGAGGGAGAGACTGACAGCTCCAGCTCCACCACACAAAGGGCAGGAGGATTTTAAGACCTGGGTAAGCTTACTGGGAAGTCCTGAAGATATTGGGAGTGGGAAGAGGGGAGTTAGTCGCTGTGATTAGTTGCGATGTTGGCTGATTCATGCTGATACTGAAGTTAGGTACTACCTTTCCAGAGAAAAGACAGATAGGGGTGTTATCTTCCTTGATGATTACATTTTCAAAGGATGACTCTCAGGTACGGTGTGGTAAAATTGGTGAGAAGCTGGGGGATGATTTCCATCTCAAGAGAACAGAGAAAGAATTTACAAACTGAAAAATTTTCTAAAGTAGATGCTCTAAGAAAAGGGAAGTCAGGGAACCTCTCATCAGGAAGAAACCTGTCTGAAGTTTAATCAAGATGAGGGGAACTTTAAGACCATCTAGGTTAAAGGGAGCACCTTTCCTTGCTCTCCAGGAAGCCAGGTCCCAGAAGTCCTCAACTGATCATATCTTAACAGGTGGCAGCTTTATCAGGGGATAACACTCACCAGCTAGCTGGTGGAGGGACTCTGATTTAGATCCTTGTACTACTAGGTGGAGATGATTTCCTCTGCACCCTGGTTTTCTGAAGCCCCCTGTAGGTAGATCCCTGCCTCTATCCTGGAGTGGAGAATATTCACCTAAATGGCATGCCCATGACCAAATGCATCTTTTTCCTAGAAAAAGACATGTTTTCAGTTCCAAACCGATTCTGTGGATAAGAGGGTGGAATTGGTTAGATCCGGTGAGGGAATTCTGAAGCCCAAATTTAGAACCCAGAGACACAGAGTACCGGCTTCCAGAAATTGCCATCATAAAAAGCCCAACCGCTAAGTACATGGCAGCCTGAGGCACAGAGGAAAATGGAAATTTCCTTGCTTGGCATTTCAGCTTGCCTAAGGGGCTGTGCTTTGCTCAGAGGGGAGGTGACCGTGCTGACCTTAAAATCCAGACCTCAAAAAGCAGGAGATGGAGGTATTTATTTTCCCCTTAAGGGTTTGATTTTTTTTTCAAATAAAAACTTAAAAGATCCAGTACTTTCCCCTGAAGCTTTCTCACAAAGTAGTGGATTTTTAGAAAAGACAAAAGGCCTTGGGGGTGGGGATGGGTGATCCCTAAAGAGTAGTGCCCTGAGGCCTCTTACCTCTTTCAGAGCTTTAGGATTTTCTATAACGTCCCTCCCTACTTTCCGAGTTTTTAAGTTTTTATTTTGCCACCGATTGCTTCTTCCATTCTACATACAGACAGTTACCCCTCGGGCCCTCTACCTATCTTCCCTGAAACCCAATCCGTCTAAACAGCAAGCATCTCTCATTTCGGTCGGCAGCTGGTGTCCTTGCCTGGTCGATAGCCTGGCTTGCAGGGGGCGACGGAGGGGAGCTTCATTCTCCACATGGTGGCGCGCGCGAGCCTCCCAGAACCCCGGCGGCCACGGCTCCTCACACTTCTCCCCCTCTGGCCCCACCCGCGCTCGTGCGCTGGAGGAGCCGCGCCCGCGGCCTTTCCCGGCGGGATAGCAGGGAGCGCGCCCCCGGAGCCCGGGAAGCAGTTGAACGGCATCTAGGTCCGGCAGGCGCGGGAGGTGCGGCCGGCTGCGGGCTGCCCGGGCTCCAGGCTCCTCCTCCTGCCAGTCCAGCCTTTATCGCCCTCACCCTGCACCCCTCCTTGACTTGGCTCTGCAAATCCAAGGTTTTCCCGAGCAGCCTAGGAGCGGCGGCGGGCGCAGTGAAGGCGGCCGTAGGAGCGCAGCCGGCCGGCCCGCCGCGCCGAGCCCAGCCCTGGGGCAGCAGCGGCATCGTCGCTAGAGCAGCCCTGGAGGCGCCGCGGAGCCCGCGCGCTCTAGCCGGCTCGGAGAGCAGTGAAGCCCGGAGCGGCCCCCTAGCCATCCCCACCTGTCCCCAAGGTCCTCCAGCGGCGCCGCCCGCTCCTCGGCGCCCCTCACCATGGACTTAGGCGGAGTTCGGACGCGCCGCGGCAGTAGCGCGCGGGTGGTTGCCGGGCCCTGGGGGTGCGCGGGCGCGAGCGCAGGGATGGCGAGGTAGGATGGCTGCCCAGCGCTACCCCTGCCGCCCCAGCCCAGCGGCTCCCGGGTGGTGCAGCTGACTTGCTCGAGCTCACAGGGGTGTGGGCGGAGGCGGCCCCGTCGCCCGCGCCTTCGGGAGTCGCTTTGCCTCTTCCACCCACTCGCACCTGCCACTGCACGGATACCATGTCGAAGGCCGCGGGAGGCGCGGCAGCGGCGGCGGCGGCGGAAAGTTGTCCCCCAGCCTCTGGCGGCCCGACCGCCGCCGCCGCGGTGGAGGACCTGTCCAAAGTGTCAGACGAGGAGCTGCTGCAGTGGAGCAAGGAGGAGCTGATCCGCAGCCTGCGGCGCGCGGAAGCCGAGAAGGTGAGCGCGATGCTGGACCACAGCAACCTCATCCGCGAGGTGAACCGCCGCCTGCAGCTGCACCTCGGCGAAATCCGCGGGCTCAAGGTGAGCGGGGGGCCAAGCCGGGAGGCTCGGCGAGGCGGGGAGCGGGGCACCCCGGAGAGGTGGGGCCAGGCAAACTTTCCCTCCCTCCGTCAACAGGTGATCGTCCCTATTGTCCCGGCCAGCACCCCTGCTCCCCATTTACAGTCCTTTGGAAACTTTTCCAAACTTCGGAGCCATGTCCCCCCTCTTCCCCATACGGGGCGCGCCAGTGTCGAGCTCTCACTAGGGGTCATCTGTGGCTCGAGGAAGTGGGCGCCTAGGATGCTGAAAGGTAGGGAGGGAGTGGACTTGCATGTGGAACCTTTGGTTTCCGGGGAGCCTGGAAAATCTGCTTTGGGACGCTGGGTTACAGCCAGGCCGGGGAAAAGGCGAGCGAGGGAGCAAGTCCGGGGCATCTTCGCCCTTGGGGGTCAAGGATACCGCTGCTCTGGCACCACGACAGCCCTGGAGAGCAGAGGGTGAGGAAAGGGCGCCAGTGATGGCTCGAGGGGCTGGAGGGGGATTCGCTCACAGAGAATCCGCTGGCACCACCCTCGGAGCTGGCTTCTGTCGCTCGGTGCAGAGGAGCTTACTCTCTGCCCTCACATTTTCCACCTTTTCTGTGCTTTCCTTTTCTCCGAGTTCGAATGTCGTCATCTGAACGCTTGACTCCCTCCCCCCACTCACCCCCAGTTTGATGTTAATTTTCCCCAGCACTGGCGGGGGCTTCGCTGGTGAGCAAAAGTACTCAGTATGGGAGACACAGGGTTTTGAATGGATACCCCCAAGTATCAGGCAAAGATGCTTCCTTCTTGGAAGAGAGAGGGAGAGAACCAACAAGAATACAAAAACCCCACCAACTCTCATCTCTCTTTGGGGAGCTCAGCCGGTGCCAGCCGCGCCTGACGCCGCAGACCGGGGGCCGGGATCCGCCCTGCCGGCGCGCACCACAAACTTCCTCTCCTCGCCGCTTGCGCTGGTGCCTCCTGGTATTCCTTCCTCTCATTGTTCTGCTTTTTGTTTATAGGAAGCCAGACACAAATGAAATCTCTGCAGGGACCCCAGGGAGCAAATTCCCGGAGGCACATGCTGTTCTTGTCCCCTTTCCATTCTCACCCCACTTCTAGGCAGTAGACACTTTAATGGCCTCAGCGCGCCAGCTCAGGGATTCTGGGGCAGAGAGGAATGGGAGGGGCAGAATGCCAGATGCTCACCTGGGTGCTGGGCCCACACCACGTGGAGATGCCCTCCCAGGCCCTAACTGACAGTCACAAGGTCCCTAGGATCGGTACAGTTAGGAAGATCCCACAGTTAGAGAAATCCCAAGGCCTACTCTCTCCTTTGGTTTAATTCATTACTAATGGAGTATTTATTAAGTACCAGACTCTTGGGGGAACAGAAGCAAGCTGGTGTAATGGAAAGATCATCTCAGAGGTGGGTTTGCCTCTAGAATACTCATTTGCCAGGAGGGTGAACCTGGGTAATTAACTTCTAAGAGCCTTATTTTACTCATCAGTGAAATGCAAATGATAATAACCATCTCCAAGGTGTTGTGACAATAACTTATGATAATATAGGGGAAAGTTTAACGAGATTTGGCTGCAGAAATTGTTAGTTGTCATCAGGGGGAACTGTAAATGTATAGTTGTGCATCTCCAGGATTGGGTTTCTTAGGTAAAGCTGGACAAAGGCACAATTCCTAACCCACCAGTTTAATCCCCATGGTTTGAACTATAACGTAACTTGGAAGAGGTTTTAATTAATTAATTTCCTAAAGATATTAATAGCATGGAGAATTAATATAATAGCTCAGAAATACCTGAAAGTTCTTTCAGGTTGTATGGATTGCCTGTGTGAGGCGGGTGCTATGTGAGAGTGGTGGTGGTGGGGGCTGGTTTTCATTCTAGTAGCCTCATTTAGAGAAATACCTATATGCCGGTTAAGGGTGGTTACACTCCAAGTAGGAGAGTCTCCAAGTAGGTGATCTAGATTCATGAATTGGTATTAAAAGTTGTTCTAGTCCACCTCCTTATCAAGGTCAGAAGTGCTGGGACTGGCTACCTTCTGATGCAGCCTCTACTCCCTCCTGTCATCCCCAGGCAGCCACAAAATGGTAGCCCTGGAGGCCGTTGGCCCACCCCTGACGGGGTTGTGGTAAAGAACTGCTGAGACGCCAGCTTTCTACCTTCTCGTCATCTCAGCTGAGGGCATCCCCAGACTCCGTGGTGATCCATAAATATGGTTGACTAAATACATCATAGGTATATGTTTATTTCAGCTTAACTTGAAGAAAGGGTTTTGTGTGTGGATCCCCCCGCCCCCAACCTCAGCTTCTGATGGTGTGGGACTCTCACTGAGGACTATAAATTTCTGGTAATTAAGGCCACAACATTTGTCTTTTTTATGCCCCTTTTTGTGAATTGCCTTAGAAATTGCATCCAAATATTTCAAGGCTACTAGGTGGTACTGCAGCTGTAGACATGGGGAGGTGGGAACATCAGTTCTTCTCCTTGGAGGGGCCTGTGACTGGGTTTAGCACTGCTTACTTATTTACGCCTAAACATTTAAAAGGCAGCACGGTGTTGGGCAGTGGAAAGATAAAGGGTTTGGAGTCTGACAATTTGGGCACCTTGGGCAAGCTGTTAACCTCTCTGTGCCTCAGTTTTCTCCTCTGCTCAACGGGGATGCTCATTCCACATGAGGTTTGATGAGGATTAAATGATACATAGATGAAGAAACCCCAGTGAGGTTAAATAGCTTTCTTAAGGTTACACAGATATAAAATGTTCAAAATAGACTGACTTCTTTTCTTTTGGGTAGTTAACATTCTCTAGTTGGAATGAATGAAAGATATGGAGAAAGGAGAGTCCCATTAGGGTTCTGCTGTTGTAGGGAACTGGATTCCTGAGAACCAAGTTTGTGCACTGCTGAGCATATAGCAACACTCAGGCTGTTCTGACTTGGAATTTTGGGGAATGGGGAGCAGATTTGTGGGAACCAAATTTCTGTGGGTTTGTTATCTGCTGCACGTTAATTTTCCTTCTTGCTCCCCACCATGTCACTCCCCCATCCTTCAATGAAAAAAAATAATGAAATTATTCTTCTTTAACCACAGATACAGTACTTGAGAATCTTATGAATAAAATTTTTGGTGGTATGCTATAAGGTGGGCTTAATCTTTTAAAAAGTCCACTTTAGACAGATGGATAACATCTGGTAGCCTGTAGCAATGTTAAAAGTACACTTAGTGTTTTGAAAAAGAAGGCCCAAGACATAAAGTGGCATATTTGAAGAAGCTAGCTCAGAAAATCATTATCAAGCTGATTGCTTAGCTGTTCCAAAGAAGAGAAAAGAAATAGTTCAAAATTGGGGAGTAAGTAATATTTCCAAGCAAACTAATAATAGGAAGAAGAAGCTGTGAAAGAAAACTGAATTGGCTGATACCCCTTCTACCTTATCTGGAATTTGGAGATGTGCATACTTCACTTCATTTGGAAAGAGCATTAGCTCATTGAAGCCTACAAGAGTCCTGTTTACTCTCCAATTCTGGAGAAATCAGTAATAGTTGTAAGATAGTCAAGGGAAGTAGTTTCAGATGGAGATTCACTTAGATGAAGAAGAACATGACGAACTTTCTATGAAGTGTTAAGTTTAAACTAAATGTGGTCTAATTTTTGAAGCTTAGAAAGACTAATTTTATTTAGTATTATTTTCTCAGAATATCTACAGCTTCTAATTTCCCCTAATGTATCAACATCGAGATAATTTATTATCTTATTACTGTAGACTCCAACATAGCAGGGGCTTACTGAAAACAATAAGAAATACTTGCTCAGTAACCAGAGCTATATCCTCTTTTGGCTATAGGCTAAAGGGTTGGTCAGTCCATAAACAGATACTAAATATTCACCGTATGCAAGGCACCATGCCAGGTGTGTCAAATATGCAAAGAAAGACACTGGAATGATCTCTGTCCTCTAGAAGCTGAGATACCAATATTAGAAAAGAAGAAAAAAGCTGCCCAATGAATGGTCTAGCTAGTGAGTCTTACAGGCACTGAGTGGGAGAGTCAGTTCACTCATTCATTTGTGCCTGGCACTGCTACACGCCAGGTGCTGTTCTAGTGCTGGGGGAGACTGCTCAGAGGAAACTCTTAAGTGACTCATAGAGGGAGAAGACAGTATTTTTTCTGGTTGGAAAGCTAGACATAATCATGGTTCATAACTGGCTGATAGATGGGGCTAAAAGTGGAAAGTCAGGAGAAAGCCTCTCAGACCTGGACAGAGGGTTACTCATTTTACTTGATGGGGGTTGATATTTGGGAGAGATGTAACATGCAGGGATCATGCTTGAAAATCAGTCTGGCTCAGGAGACCTTGGATTGGAATGGGTAAGGAAAGTTAGAGGATGGGGCAGATGAAGGCAGGCAGACCCGTGGGAGGCTTTTGGAAGTGGCCAGGCTTGGGATCAGAAAGTGGCAAAAGGAAGAGACAGGCATCAGAAACAGGGGAAAGGAGTTGTCAGTAATGCCAAGACTTTGAACTGTAGTTGAAAACCAACCTGCACCAGAGCCTCTGCTTCCCCAGTCCTTGAAAATCTCCCATTTTAGGCCTCATGCCTGTCAGGAGGCCAGAGTGTGGCTGGCAGATGTTTTATAGTTTATTTTCTAATCATTATCAGGGGAAGGTTGGAATCAATCTGAGTTTAAGAGAATTAAGGGCCTTTCTGAGTAGTTCTCATTCTGGATTGGATCACAGAGTCGTAAGACCAGAGGTTTTCAGGCTTTGTAAAGCAAGGGGAATCTTAGGTAGCTGCTCGTTTCATCTTCACCAAACCATGATGCTTCAAGAAACAGTTGGCTCCTTTACTGTATGTATGGACAGTGAATAAATGTGAACTTCACAGTGCATTTTCAAAGTTCCTTGGTTTCAGATATCTGCTGTGGAGTGCTATGTTCAGGTTACAGACTCCATTCTCATGACTTGAGTGAGGACAGAGACATGACAAGCACACTCAACCATATGTGATTACAAATTGTAATTAGTGCAAAGAGGGAGAAAATCTAAGGGGTTGTTGTAGAGCATAGAAAGTGACCTTTAGATGGGGATTAGTGGTCAGGGATGGCTTCTATGGGAAAGCAACTTATCAAGTGAGATCTGAAGGGTATGTAGATGGCTGAGAAAAGCATTCCAAGTGAAAGAGGTTAAGGGCTCATCCTTCAGCCCTGGAACAGACCAGTGTTGCTGGGGATCAGTGCATGATGGGGGGAGATGCTCTCACCTTCTCCACTGCTACCATATATGCAAGCCACCATCACTTCCGTCTACCTGGACTAGCCTAGTGCCCTCCCACTGGTCTTCTGACTCCCACCTTATCCTGTCTTCCTCCCTTGTGCTCCCCACTCCTCCAGTCTGTTTAACACACAGAACTACGGTGACCCTGTACAAAATGAATCCAATCACAGCACTCCTATATCCTCAGCTCACCAACAATCCAAAGTTCTTCCTATGGCTGACAAGGCCTGGCATTACCTAACCCTGCCCCCTCCCCACCCCCACCCCCCCATGTGGGCCTCATCTCCCAGACTGCTTGCCAGCTGCCCTCCTTGCTCACTGGGTTTTGGGCACACTGGCCTCCCTGCAGCTTGAGCCATGTTTGCCTCAGGGCTCTATGCTTGTCCTCTCTGCCTAGATCACCTTCCCTCAGATGTTGGCCCCTTCATTTTACCCAGGTCTTTGCTCAGATATTTTCCTTCTCTGCAGAGGTACCTTCACTTAAGAAATAGTAATTTTTAATCTGGTTTAGTCTTCTTCCCAGTGCTTTTCACTATGGGCCATTATGTTCTTTGTTAGTCTTTTGCTGGTCTTTCCCACTGGAATGAAAGCCATAGGATGTCAAGGTCTTTGCTGTGTCCACTGATCTGTCTCCAGCACTGGGCTGATGCCTGGCACATAATTGTTGCTTACTGTTTGTGGATGAATTACTGAACCACCATTCATGATAGAGAAGTAGGCTGGGTTAGGAGGATTGGGAGCCTAGTCAGACGTGGAGGATTTTGCACTTTATTCTAAGGATTGGGGGCCATGTGAGATGCTTTGAAAGGATTTAAGCATGGGATTAACAAAATAAGGTGTATTTTAGAGGTAGAGTTCAAAACACTTGTTTGGCTTGGAAACGAAAGGTGAGGGAGAAGGAGATGCCAGGCATAACCAGAGGTTCTTAGAAAGAGCAACAGGATGGGTGGAGATGGCATTTGCTGAGTTCGAATTTGGGGAGCGGAGTTTTCTTATCACCCAAGAGCTCAGTGTTGCCCATGTTACATGGGAGATGCCTGGAGACATGCAGGGGGTATGGAAAGTAGGGCTGATGTGCAGGTCTGAAGTGTCACAGGAGGGCAATTGTGCTGTTCCCTGTTGAGGGGTTGGGGGCTGCTCCTGTGTCATGGACTGAACACCCTGGCAGTGTTTGTTTACACTGACAAAAGGCCTGTTGCCTTAGAGCTCTCGAGCCTTTCATAGGTCACTAGCAGCCATCTTCCTTGAAGGTAGGGCAGTGGAGGCTTGCTTTTTACTGATTTCCAGTTAATTAACTGGCTGTTCCCTAAATACTGCCTGGATGATCTTGGACAAATGAGACTTTGGGAGGTCCAGTTTCCCCTTCTGTAAAAGAACCATACTGATCATTATCCACTAAGTGTTTTGGTGAAAAATCAGATGAGGTAATGCAAGTAAAGCATGGGGCAAGGAGCATAACCAATACTTACTATTTTTATTTTTATGGGTAGCTATAAATCTTCAGCTTTCTCTCCTCTTCTCCCCTAACATCACGGAGAATAAACCAATTCCAGGCTCCCTTGCTCTCAGGAAATCTCAACCCAATGACTCCACATATGTGTATTTCCTTTGAATGTTTATATCTCTCTTTGCAGGATATCAACCAGAAACTCCAGGAGGATAACCAGGAACTGAGGGACCTCTGCTGTTTCCTGGATGATGACCGGCAGAAAGGCAAGCGGGTGTCCCGGGAGTGGCAGAGACTGGGCCGCTACACGGCCGGGGTGATGCACAAGGAAGTGGCCTTATACCTGCAGAAGCTGAAGGAGCTGGAGGTGAAGCAGGAGGAGGTAGTGAAGGAGAACATGGAGCTCAAGGAGCTCTGCATGTTGCTGGACGAGGAGAAGGGTGCAGGCTGCGCGGGCAGCCGCTGCTCCATCGACAGCCAGGCCAGCCTGTGCCAGCTCCCTGCCCCGCCGGCACCCTGCGTGAGGGATGTGGGGGATGGAAGCAGCACATCCAGCACGGGCAGCACCGACAGCCCTGACCACCACAAGCACCATGCTGGCAGTGGGAGCCCTGAGCACCTGCAGAAGCCCCATGCCGAGGGCAGCCCGGAGCACTCCAAGCACAGGAGCACCAGCCCCGAGCACCTACAGAAACCCAGGGCTGCTGGGACCCCAGATCACCCAAAAGCACTCAAAGGACCAAGCCCTGAGCACCACAAACCCTTGTGCAAGGGCAGTCCTGAGCAGCAGAGGCACCCGCACCCGGGGAGCAGCCCTGAAACACTGCCCAAGCATGTGCTGGGTGGGAGCCCGGAACACTTCCAGAAGCACAGGTCTGGGGGCAGCCCTGAACATGCCAGGCACAGCGGCGGGAGCCCCGAGCATCTTCAGAAACATGCCCTTGGGGGGAGCCTGGAGCATCTACCCAGAGCCAGGGGCACCAGCCCAGAGCACCTCAAACAGCATTATGGGGGGAGCCCCGAACACAAACACGTGGGCGGAGGAGGCGGAGGCAGTGGAGGAGGCAGCAGGGAGGGCACCCTCCGAAGGCAGGTGCAAGAGGACATGTCACCCCATCACCGGAGTGTCTACAGTGGCATGAACGGTGGGTCAGTACGTGCTGGGGCCCTGCTTTGGCTGCAGCAACTCAGTAGAGAGTTAGGAATGATGAAGGGCTTTCCAGACATATTAAAAAGCATAGGTGCTGGCTAAGGCAGGGGGGCGGGTGTGGGAGAGAGGAGCCAGCATTTGCCCCCAAATCGTGATATGTGTTTCTTCCCCTCATTTGTTTTAGTTTATACAGTTATCAGTTAAGTAAGCCTGGAGAAGATTGGGGATGAGGGGTTAGGAGAAGGGGAGGAACAATAATCCCAGGGGACCCTGAGTAAATTGGGGGTGAGATTTGTGGGAATGGAATGTAAAAATGAAACCAGTTTAAGATTCTTCTGTCTCCACTATTTTCCTACTTGTGTGCAGTTTCCTACTGCTGCTCTCTTAGAACAAGTCACCAAAAAGTTTCTGATTCCAGTTAACAGCTTATGTGCTGCAAAAAATGAGTATTTATTATGAAAAACAGTAATGTTAAGAAGGAAATGGTGTCCTTAAACAGGCTTGATGCTGGGTTGTCTGAATGCCTATGATTATGCTTTACCTTGGGGATTTTTTTCCATTGTGTTGGAGGCTTTAGCATGAATCTGTGACTTTCCTTTGCATCTGAAATGCACCAAATGATTTCCTTCCCTCCTCACTAAAACCTACCCACCCTCTCACCAAACTCCTTTAAACATATTGTGAATAGCATGCTCTCTTAACACTGTGAGACATCGTTCCCAAACGTTTAAGTGTTCTTTAAAATGTACAGATGTGTTTGGACTTGCCTTTGGTTTCCAAAGTACTACAAACCAGAGTGTGTTTGTAGTAGTACATCCACTGTGTTTGCTGAGGCAGTTCTAAACCCGACTCTAAACCTTCTGGAAGAGGTTTAGTTTTCTGCATCTTGGTTCTGAAACCACTTTGAACTCAGTAGAGAAAAAATAATTTTCTTAAAAAACCCCAAAAACCTCCCATAAACCTTTTATATTACCTATGGTTGAGTTAGAACTAAAACGATTGGTTTTATAAACTGTGTGTTTTTTCCTCCAAAATACCTGAGTTTTGTCATTTTATCTGAAGGCTGCTCTGGACTATATGTGCAGTCAGCTCTGAGCACTGGTGGAGGTTGCCAGTTTTAGCTGAGACATGAAGGGGTCAATTTTCAATATTGTACTTGGGGATTTACTTGTTGGATTCCATTTTGTCCTAATCCTTTTCTTGTAGTGCTGAAAATTAACTCTGGAAGCTTGGCTTCTAAAGCATCCAATGTTCTTTTGGGCACAAATGGAACTAGAAAGGGTGGGAAAGGTAGGATGCTGTTGCTTTCTGGCTTGTTGGGATGTGAAACTGGGAGAGATGCCGCCCTGAGCGCTGAGGACAGCCTTGGCTCTGCAGTTCTCAGAAGAACTAAAGTCATTTAAAAAGAAATTTTGGTTGTGCTACTGTCATGCAATGGTTCATTGGCCATGAAGCTTACCTTCAGGAGGTAATGGGTTAACTTGAAGGAAAAGTTAATGACTTTTCCATTTCTTCATTACTTTTTAATGGGCATGAGATGTAAATGTGTGCACTACTTTAAGGAACTTTGTATCTTGAACCAAAAAAAAAAAAATTACTTAGGGGCAGGTGGCTCACTTAAACAATTCTCTTTACCAAAGTGCTCTTTTAAATAAGAACTCCTCTAGTTTAGTCAATCAATGTTTTCACTTACAAAAAAAGATTTCAGGTGTAATTTTTAAGCCATGTCTTCCATAGAATCAAGCATATCTCTAGATAACGATGACATTACAACATGGCTTATTGTTGCCTGAATTCAGATAAACTTTATGGTCGGGCAAATATTTTTAAAAATTTAACTATTTAGTCAAAAATTTGATGTAGCAGGGATGTGTTACTTAGAATGACAGTACAGCAAGTTTACTTAAGGTTTTCTCATTCTTAAGTGATAAACCTGACACTGATATCCTCACCAAAGTGTGTTTGCAGTACATTTGCACTGTATTTTTATTTCAGTAATTAATGGGAAAATGAAGTGGCACAGTGAGATGTTTATGGATCATTAGCTTATAAACTTGGACATTTGTAGCTTGTATTTGTCCTGTTATTACAAATTAATTTTCCATATGGATGGTAAGTTATGATTTTTCGTATTTTTAAATCCCCACACATTTTGGTTGAATCACTGGCTTATAAACAGACAGGGACCAGTAGCAAGGTAAATCCAAAATTACAGATTTGTGGATTCATTTACAGAGTCATTCCGTTGGGGTTGGTGTGAGATATGAGTGTTTTGGGTGAGTACTTGCATATTTTTGCATGAACAAAGAGTGGGTGAAAGCAGGTGGGAAACATATCTGTAGAATGAAACAAAGATGAAATATATATCTATGAGCTATTGTCCTATCTGTAAGGGTCTACATTCCCTCCAAAAAGAGACACATACCTAAACTGAGGGAACATTAGTGAAAGTGATTGCTGTTTTAGTTGACTGTGCCATTGGCATCTTTAAATCTCGTGTTTTCATTTATAAATTCAGTGGATAAAGTAGTTGATGAACTTTATGTCCAAGGGTTTCCTTTGGCTAAAATAGATGGCTGATTTCCAACTGGATGAAAAGATAAATTTTAGCTATTTTTCCTCCCTTAAAAATCTAAGCCCCTGTATAGCTACTTTTAACTTACTAGCTGATTACAAAACAAAAAAAACAAAGATAAAACACTATTTGATGAAAAGAAAAACCTCTAAATTGAATGAAGTGTTCATGAATGCATTTACTTCTTTAGAAAGCATTTATTCGACTAGTTCTTTGCAATTTGTAGTTTCATTTGCAAAGAGAAAGTGGATTCAATACTTACCATATGTAGACATGGAAGCATTTGTCTGTTCATCAAGTTACTTGCTGTATTCCAGATTTGTAAATTAAGTAATTGAATAGCCTCTTCTGGTTATAAATGTACACAAACTGACAGCTTCTTTGAGAATGGGGAGGTTCACTTACCTGATTCCATTGAAGTCTATGGTTGGGTTGAACTTTCTTAGGTGAAAGTATTTCCTCCCACAGTGAAACCAAGGGTCTTTGCTTCCAGATACCACCTGGTAGATCTTTGCTTTTTAACAGATACATTTTTTTAGCTCAGATATGGATACTGTGATTGGCTCAAATTCTTCTAAAAATAGCTGCTGTTGTTGATGAAGATGATTCTGATGATGAGAGGCCTTACAAGTAGTTCATTCATTGGACATTATGAATCTACATGAAAAAGTAATAAAAGTAGTTTAATTCTAGAGGCATATATTGCTGTTTACCAGCAACTGAGAAGGAATAAAGAGAAGAACATTATTTTATTGTTTATCTTCCTGCTTCTAAAATAAAAATTTCTTACTTACCCTGGTGGATCTAATTTGCTTTGCCATCTGAGAGCATGTTTCAGTGAATGATAGCAGCTTCATGCCCTCCTTCAGCATCACCTTAGCCAATGAGAGCACACATGAGGAAATTACTCACCTGCATGAGACAGGATCCATTTAGAACTACAGATGGCCTTGTTGGATGGAGTGGCATAGTTGTAATTGTTCCTCCTGAAAGTTTCTTATTGCTTCTTTTCCTTTTTTGTGAAGAGTGTATCTAGAGATAGAAAGAGCAGGCTGTTTCTCCCACCAACTCTCTTTAGAACAGTTTCTTAACAGTGGCATTTGCGTTTGGGACCAGATCATTCTTCATTGTGAGGGGTTGTCTTGTGCACTTCAGGAGGTTAAGCAGCATTCTGGCCTCCACTCAGGAGCAGCCCCCAGTTGTGACAGATAAAAAAGTCTCTAGACATTGTCAAATGTTCCCAAGGGGTAGGGAGTGGGCAAAATTGCCCCTGATTCCAGAACCACTACTTTAGAACAGTGTTTTTCAGTCCAGCTGCAGATTAAAATCACTGTAGTAGCTTTGAAGAAATACCAATGCCTGGGCCTGGCACTCAGATGCAAATTGAATTGGTCTGGCATTTTGCCTGAGCATGTTACAGAAAGAGCTTCTCAAGGATTCTAATGAGCAGACCAGGGAAGGCCATTGTCCTAAATGGGTGATTATTACATAAAATGGGTTAGTATGAGTGAAGCTTTCAAGCACCCAAGCTTCCTGGGAAAAAGAAAGTTAGCTTCTTCCCTTCCTTTGCTGAACTCCAGGACTGAGAAGGACTGATGCCAAAAGTACTATACAAACTTTTTAATCCTCTTAACCCCAGACCAAGGCTATATGATAATGCACTTTTTTGGAACATAGGTAGAAATTTTGAGCTTTTTGGTGGGTGGGATTGTTAATGTGGAGAAGTTCTGATATATGAGTAGTTCAAGACTACTTTTTAAAGCCTTCAGATCCAGATGGAAAAAGAAGCATGTGGGTTTCTAACCCATGTGCAGGGGATGCTGATGCTGATGGTGCATGTAGATCATCAATACCTGTAAAGCTAATAAATATTTTCCACAGTAGAATACTGCATTTCAGATCTCCCAGTTTATGTGTTTTAAGATTGAATTTTAAAATTGCTTCTTATTCTCTGTTGAATAATTAATGAGTGAACGAAAAACGCTGATGACACAAAATGGCCTTGCCTATGAGGGGTACAATAACGTGTGTGTAGAAGAGCCCAGCAGGATTTCTCTGAAGCAAGGTTGTCTGTAGGTTAAGTAATGACTCACTATAGCATGAGTAATCACTCTCATTCATCTTTTATTTTGCATAGAAAAAATTAGGGCATCACTTATTGATGAATTTGGACAATGGAAATTGAATGTCTCTTTGGGGAAAAATTTCTACAGTTACAGTTAGAGAATATCAGAACAGATTTTAATTGAACACCTCTGAGTATATTTTCTATTGCATGAGCTAACATATAGATGCTTAATACACTAGTTAATGTATTTTGATCCTCCAGCTTCAATGTGGTATTTGGTAGCCTAATATATACTTTGACAGGACATCAGTTTAAGAAGTTTTGAAAAACATAATTGAATATTGTACCATAC